CCTGCGAACACAAAGCATTCTCTTCGAACGTTATCCGGATGGTGAGTGCTCCCATGCTCCCAGTAATCCATTGTCCCAGGGTCTCATCTTATCTGGTCACCTCTTTCAGTTCTGCGGCCGTACAAGTATGCTGGCTATCCGCAGCTCATCAAGACCATCCGACTGGAGACGCGCGACGATGAGCTTTTCTCCAAGGAGGCCCAGCTTCTGACAGCCGCCTCCGAGCTATGCTACCACACGGTCCACTGCTCCGCCCTGAATGCCGAAGAGTTGCGGCGGGAGGAGGGCATTGAGGCTTTGCTTGAAGCCTACACGCGCTGCGTGTCCATTCTGGGAGTCGATTCCAAGCCGGAATCGTTGCACTACCAGGTCATATCCAATGTGACGCGCTGCTTTGAGGTGGCATGCAACTTTGAGAAGTGCAAACAGAAGATCATCCAGCTGCCGCAGCTGCTGTCCGACGTGTGCCGCGTCGTGTACTTCAAGCACACGCTGTCTGTGAGCCTGGTGACTAGTCTGGCGGCGAACAACTACGACCTGCAGTGCAATCTGTCTCGGAACGGAGTGCTCTGGTCGCTGCTGCTGTTTATCTTCGAGTATGACTACACGCTGGACGAGAGTGGCGTGGACGTGAGCGACAAATCCAATCAACAGCAGTTGGCCAACAATCTGGCCAAGATGGCTGTCCTGGGGTGCATTTCCCTGGCCGGGTACAGCATGGAGTTACGCCAGAAGCCGATTACTGGCAGCGAGTCCAACTCGCCGGCGGCCAAGCCTCCACCAGCCATCAAGCCCAAACCAGTTGGGGGTGCCACCAGCTCGGCCTACACCCAGAACGCGCATAATCCGCTACAGAGCAAGCAGCTGGCTATCACAGGCGGAAAGGAAAAGGAGCCGGACACCTCATCCGGCAGCAGTGACACCTCCAGCTCCACGCCCACCGACAGCGATCAACAGAACCCGGCCAAGAGCAGCTCCAGTGCCATCCAGCAGAAGTACATCGTGGCGGGGGAGGCCAAGAATTCATTGGTAAAGCAAGTCCTCGACCGCCTCCTCACCCGCTACATTGCCAACCAGCTTGCCACTGCGCGAGACAGCGATGTGCTCAAGCTGCTCACGGCAAACACGAGGAATCCCTACCTCATCTGGGACAATGGAACCCGAGCTCAGCTCAAAGACTTCCTCGAGCAGCAGCGCACCTCCTCCGCCCGAGAGACCCATGAGGACATTGCCCAGGTCTACGAGCTCGTTTCCAGCTTCGAGTTCGATGCCCACAAGTGAGTCCCACCACTAGGTGAAGCAAATCAGTTTTCTTTTAACCATTTTGTACTCCTTCTTTAGAGAGGAACTGCAGATTGGCGGCATATTCATACGCATCTACAACGACATGCCCACCCACCCGATTGCGCAGCCCAAGCTGTTCATTATGGATCTGCTTGAGTACTTAAAGCACGCGTATCAGTTTCTGCAGTACAAGAGGAATCCGGCCGCCTCTGTTGCCGCTGCTAGCGCTGCTGCCGCACCCAAAATGGGCAGCGACGGCATCCTGACCCCCACACTGGCACCCAATCATCCGCAGCTGCAGATGCAGCAGCAGACGGCTAAGCCGGGCAGCACCTTTGACGATGTTCTCAATGCTTACAATCGGTCGAAGAGCCGAAAGAAGCTCGAGACTGATGCGCAGACGGAGCAGAAGCTGGCGCTGCAACAGAGCAAATATGACTTTGCCAGTGATGGGAAACTGGAACTGCACATAACCATGGTGCTCAAGGCACTGATAGCAGTAATCAAGGCGAACGCCGAGGTGGAAATTCAATGCATTGGAAATTTCGAGATGATCTTCGGCTTTCTGGCCAACAACATATTTTCCGACGTAAGAGCAGCGTATGGATTCCCCTAAAGCAGACGTAAATCTTCTTATTACCCTACAGAGCTCCACGGTTAAGTCGGTCGCCCTCGAGGTGGTCGCCTTGGTCTCCCGTAACAAGGAGTGCGTTTCCGAGGTGGCCTCCTGCGAGATTCTGGGCAACTATCTGGTGGCCCTCAAGGATCCGGAGCTGCGTGCCAGCCAGGTGAAGGTGCTGGAGACACTCTCGGGTCTGATGAATGTGCAGGAGATGATCAAGGAGGCCCAGGCCAAGGGCGCAGCCATATATCTCCTGGACATGTTCTGTAACTCGCGTAATCCGCAAATCCGAGAGATGTGCGCCGAGATTTTAGCCAAGATGACAGCCGATCGTTTAAGTGGTCCGAAAGTACGCATTACCATATCGAAATTCCTCCCCACATTATTCATCGATGCCATGGTGGAGTCGCCGCCCACATCCGTGCAGCTCTTCGAGTCCATACACGAGCATCCTGAGCTCATTTGGAACGACAATACGCGATCGAATGTATGCGATGCGGTCTTGGAAGCCTGCGACAGGTGAGTGGTAGTTTCAGGTTCCAGCTTGGTAGTTCTCCTGATTTCCCCCTGTGCTTGCAGATTTTACCAGCTGCAAAAATCGAATCCTCGGCATGTGTGGAAAGACCCTGAAATACTTAAGGACATCGTATCCAATGAAATTGTTGTGGCAGGCGTTTACCTGCGCCTGTTTGTCAGCAATCCCGCTTGGACGCTGCGCAAGCCAAAGCAGTTCCTCTCCGATCTCCTCGACTTTGTCGTGGATCAGATAAGCAAGAGTTCCTCCGAGCAGGATGTCCTCGATCTGTCCACCACCGCGCTCGTGGAGCTGCTGCGCTCGCAGCCGAATCTGGCAGACGACATACCAGTGCTGGGCCACATACCAAAACTGTTCAATCTACTCTCGGTGCAGCCAAAGAACACGCTATCAGTATTACATCAGCTCTCGCTGTCTGAGGTCAGTTGGGGGGCGGAAAATGTTGACAAGACAACCTCACTTATTTGTTCCCATTCCTTTGCAGTTCTGTGTGAGTGCCATCTCACAGACAGAATGCGTGGCGCCGTTGAAGAAGTGCATGGAACACAATCGGGACTGCATTGAGAAGGCCTGCGAGGCACTGAGTCGGCTTTTCAAACACCAGCACGTGAGTATTTTAGCCATCATTAATCAATCCATCAGTTTCGAGCAAGCATTCTCTGAATTTATCCCTAGGACTCATTGATCAGCCAGTCCTTGGAGGTGGGACTCATACCTTTTCTGCTTGGCTTGCTGGACAGTCGGCTGGAATTCGTTGACAATCCATCTGCGGTTAAAGCACAAATCGTTGCGGCCCTTAAAGGGATGACGCACAATCTCAATTATGGCGATCGGGTTACGCAAATCTTGCTCAAGCATCCTGTCTGGGCAGAGTTCAAGGATCAGCGCCACGATCTTTTCATTGCCGACACCAACATACGCGGCTATCTGACGGGTAAGTGGACAATCACGAATCAAAAAGGATCACAGCTCTTGAGTGGATTTCTATTCCAGGCATCAACCCAACGGCTGGCTACCTGACGGCAGGACCTGCGCAAAGCGTGGAAGTGCTCACCTCGCCGCCCCCCATCGATCGCGACGATCCTTCGGCTCGTCCTCCCATAGACTAGCGAGTTCTTCTTTGATATCGGTCTAAAGCTAAGCATCGCCTGTTTTTGCTTAGCCCTGATTTCGGTTGGTGTGGCAACTGGACACGGACGACCATGCACGGGATTCCCCCATTATTGTATTAAACTTTTGCATATTTTGTATACACGCAGCAAGGAGCGTCGCGGCTGTCGTCAGCCAACATAATAACAAACTGTAACAAAGTTTCATTTTTTATATTTATAAAAGCTGTATAAATAATTAGAGAATAGTTTATACACATACACAAACACCCCAACCTAACTTGAGCATGCATAAAGTGATTATATATATTATGGAATGAAGCATTAAAGATTCATTAAAAATGAAAGAAACTCTCATATGTACTCGTTTCTCTTCTTAAGGAAGTAAATATTATTAACCATCGTTTTGAAATCTATTTTGTTATTTATTGCACACATTTTCCATTTACATGGTAAGGGTATTCTATTTCATACCTAGTAAGTTGTAAACCATGGTTAAAGTTATGTTTAATTCATATATACATATATATAGTGTATATATATTTAACGAAAAAGTAAACCACAGGGTGACCATTTACGGTTATTATATATATTATTACGTATACATTATATACTTTTCTATATATAATAACGTCGAATTTGAGTTGAAGGTATATTTACTGTATTTCGGTATATAAAAGCAATTTAATTTTAAAAGGTATATTAAAGAACATAAGGTATAAAAAAACTATACGTAAGTTTCTTTAAAGGCAATATCGTTTTATTCAAACTTTCGTTGCATTTCCTTCCGGCTTACGTTTTATGATTTGACTTTATTTACTTAAGCCCTATTTTAATAAATATCGAATAAAGGGGAGTATTTAAAGTTAGCTAATTTTGTAGAAAATTGTTTCATCAATGGGATAAAATGATTTCTTTAGAGCTAAAAGGCCTAGCTAGCTAGTAATATTAAACCGAATATATAAATCGAGAAACATGATTTCCCATCAAGGGTAGAGAATGCAGGGCATTTTCGACTAGTGGTATTAAAATACTCTACACGAAAATAATGAATCTTGAAAAATTTTAGCACAGTTCTACAAGAAGAATTATTATTGTTAGCATTATTTTCCGCAGTTTTAAATGGGCTATAAAAAGGGGTATGGACAACAGGAATAAACAGCCGTGGAAAGTTGCAAGGTTCGTACGAACCTCACCTTCCGTGTATGGACAATATACCTTGAAATCAAAAAGCCGATATTGTTTCCAAGGTATATTAGACAAAAGGGGTGGACTTTACCGTGCATACTTTGCATTTTTTGGGCCGTTTTGCCTGTTGTCCATACCCTGGCTTTCTTCCCATTATGTAGCAAATTTTTAGTAACCGCGTAGTTCTGCTTTTTCGGTCGCAAGCCCACACCCCACAAATTGTAAATATTGTTACCAGCTCGCGCACTAGCACAGTTGTTGTTTATTTTCGTTTTTTTAGCTGTCAATGTCGGCAAACAATGTCGCTTGTGGCAGATTATAGCGACTCCTCCGAATCCGACGAGGATAGCAGCAAAGGATCCGAAAGCGAACAGATAAATGGGTAACAAGATTCTATGACATATGTATATAGGAAGAAAAATAACAAAAACCTCGTCAGCACGCCGCCAACCGAGAAGCTGCCGCCAAAGTTGCCGAGCGCGAACCAGGCGCTGGGCCAAGCAGGCGGCAAGAAGACGGGCGAGGTGTTCTCCAATCCATTTCTAGAGGCGGAGCTGCAAAAGACAGCGTCCCTGGAGCGGCACGTTAAAATGGTCAACAATGACACACATTTGCAGCTAAAGAATGGACGCAAGATATGCTGGAACTTCAGGAAAGGACGATGTCGTTTTGGAACAAGCTGCCAATACGCCCATGACTCTGATTTGGCGATGACGGAAGAGACTCCTCCAAAAAATAGTTTTGAGCCAGTCCAGGCAGTCCAGGTGGTGAAAGATACTGGAAATACCAACACGCGCAAACGTCCCGGCCTGGGTGATGGCTTGGAGCCAGGCAAACGAGTAATGAAGTCGTACCAGAAGCAACACCCGTCTGGCCGCCGTTAAACCAGTCCAGCATCTGTGATCCGTAGCAAGCAAGTGTCTCCCGCAGGACCATAGGTGTTCGTCATTACATTTACCATTCGGAGGCCGTCGTCATCGCAGCTGTCGCCGCAGTCTGTACTCTCCGGTAGCTCCAGCGACAATCTCAGCGTACATACTGAACTCCAATATGAGCCTAGCATTGGTTTATTCGACTGCCGCGTAGACCCATCACTGTTGCCATCCTCTAAGCCGTCATCGTCACAATTATCTTATAGTAGAACAAGCGTAGTATATAGAGTTATGTAAATAAATCGTCCTATAAACTAAAATGTACCTGAATCCTGAGAGAACGATATGTTGCCGATGACAAAAGCCACGCCCCTCACAGCTAACTTCCTCACTCTGCATGCAACCTCTGTCAGGAGGGAATCCCTCGTTCTTCGCATTTCCCTGCCTCGGTGGTCCACAAAGCAAGCGGCCAGGGAGTCGACCACAACGACTTTTGTTTTTAATGCAGCCTGAACATCGTCAGTCATTTGCTGATCGAAGGCTTTAAGTACTTCAATGAGCTCCTCTGATGTAAGGACTTCTACCACGTGAATGTCCGCCATTGCCTTCTCGCTTGTTTCCTGGTCCACTTTACGCTCCAGCAGCATGTCTTGTATCCTTTTGGTGGAGAAGTCTTGCTTGGTATCGATGAAAAGCACTTGCAGTTTGTGTTTCCATACAAAATTAAGAGCCAAGGTGTACATTAGTTGGGTCTTTCCCACGCCAGTCTGGCCACAGACTTCCCAGACTCTGCCTCGCCTGAACGGCTGCGCAATGGAGTCCAAAAACTTGTCCAATCTGAAACAGGCCGCTTAGTAAATACAACAACTCTGTTCATATTGGCCTTTGAACTACGCTACTCTTCTATGCCCGTTCCAAAGTCCAACTCGTTAACAGTTTCCACAAATGTCTCCGACTGCCATGGCAGCATATCCAGCTCCTTCTTAATCTCCAGTACTGATTCCAGTTTGATGGCCAGCAGCTTGTTCAGTTTCTGGTTCTCAGCATCGTGGAAGTCGAGCAAAGTTTCGATATTGTTTTTTGTTAGTAAATTTAACTGATATTCGGATAATAATTTTTTGCCCGTCGGAGTTTGTAAAATCTTATTCTTCAAATCCATTCCGTGTTGTTTTTAGTGTGACCGGATTTATCGCCTAATATACGGTCTGACCAATGAAAACATATGTATGTACATACATACATACATAGATTATAATATGATTAGGGGCCAGTCACGCTTATTCCGGTTTCGGCCCGTAGAGGCACCGCTTGGGATCTTCCCAAGCGTTGTGAGATCCATATGCTCTTACAAAGTTTGCAATCTTCGAGGGGCATAAAGTTATAGCCTTCTTCTGTAGAGAACTCTTCATCGTCTCTGCAGCTCCGGCAAAATTCATTATATGAGGCAACCATCCTGTTTTCGTGGGTGCCTTTTAGCCAATGTCCTGTGAGGGAACGTACGATTGCGCTGGACCTTGCATGATTGGCGAGTTTTGCCACATCGTTACACAAATTGCCACTTATGGTCTATTAGTCGCTTGTATTGCTCTTTTGTGATATACGGCTGGCCATTGGCATACGGATATATTCCCTGTCTTGGAGAAGGGGGTTGTAGTAACAGATCTGGTAAGATAAATATTTGTTACACGAGCTCTTTTCGGAGCCTGGTCAAATACTGAGCAAACTCAGCAAATACCACGGAAAGCTTCATTGAGATTCGAAAGTTAGGAGGTGTATCACCTTATTTAATTTCATCACTGACCACACTGGAGAATCTGAGTCATGTGCGTCCTCTGGCGCAGGGGAGCCATATCATCGGGTATAAAGTAGATTCGCGGCAGTAGCAGCGACTCAAGCTTGAAGGTTAATCTTAATTTTAGATTTTCTGAACTTTTGCGAATTCCAAAAATGCCAATGTAAATGGTACATATGTATGTATGTATGTGAGCACAGAAACAAAAATCAACATCAACAACAGTCAACATGTCGGTGCGCTATATTTTGGGCAATTAGGACCAGATCGCCGAAGGACCTGCTTTCCCAGGATCAAGACGATCCAGACTGTCGATCAACCCCTCGACAATGAAAATGAGGTCGATTCTTTTCAAAAATAATGATGCATCCCATCCCATATGTACTTTCGCAGACGCGCGAGGATTCAAAACTGAGAAATTAATTTGCAAAGATACAGAATGACAAGGCTAGATGTTAAGATCTTAAGTTGCACACTTCCGACCAATTGTTCTAACCAATTGGTTGTTGTCAATTGTCAGTTGCTAACATTAAGCATTTAACATTGTGAATCTGCTGATATGCAACGAATACAAAAATGTTCATTTGTATTTAAAGCTTAGGCTAAAACTAATGAACAAATTATATAGAAATTAAGTATTTCAAAAGCCTAATGATTAAACTAGCACTCGATTACCCATTAATTAGTTGCACAATGGAATTAGTAGTTAAATAGTTAAGTAAACAAATAGTTAAGTTAAATAATGAAGTCGTTTGTTGCTCAGAATACTCAACGTCCGAGTGTGTGCATAAACTTCATTCAGATAAAGCACGTCGTCTCAATAAAAAAAAGTCCCTCTAGATTGAATACAGAGCGGAGCTCTCTGTTTTCAAAGCTGACTCACGTGCGGGGATCACAGTGAAGACACAGGGATCGTTCGATATCAAGACTTTTTGTAACATAAATAAAATAAAATAAATTGATAAATCGAATAAAATTTATCATTAGAAAATGAACGAAAGAATGCGAAACAGATAGTTGTATTTTATTAAAATTTTTTGATAGTTTTGGAGTTCCCGCCCAGCTGTTTGGAGAAAACCTAATTTGATAAGAGTTCAGTTCATTGAAGAAGTGAATACTTTTTCAGATTCATAAAATCGCAATGGAAAGCCCCTGCTAAGAGAGCAGCTGCCACATATGAGTATATGTAAATGTCGTCACTTTATCTGAAATCGCGCCCACGCTCGTATCTGGGAACTCATTAAGTAATGAATAAAACAAAGTCTCAGTCGAGTGGCAGAGATGGACGAGGAACCGCATGCCCATGAAAAGCTAGTGGCCAAGGCAAGGCGACATGATCCTGAAACTACCAGCAGTAGCAGCGGTTCGAGCCAGACCAGTTCCATAGAGGCAACGATTGCGTCGGACCCTTCACCCTGCGTTTCATCAGTGGTCCAACCCTTGACTATCTATCTGCTGGAGCCCTTTATATTAATTCTTCTGTTCGCCTACAATTTTTCCTGTAAGTGTTCGTCTGATTGGGAGGCTGTCTCATTGTATATCCTTTATTGCAGCCACTGTATTGAAGAATCAAATAATCTATCAAAGCTGCACGGCTGGGTTCGGATACTCGGATAAGGTCTGCCTGCTTCTGGGCACCAAGAATGCCACCAACGAAACGAAGGTAAGACGAAGCCGATCCCTACAAACGTATACAATACTTTTTAGATCTTTGCCAGAGAATCGAAGAAGAGGTGCAGCCCTATGCAGCTCGGGTCGCTGTGGTCATGAGGATTGTGGAGTGCATTATTCCGGCATTCTGTGGGCTCTTTGCAGGAGCCTGGGCAGATCGCTACGGACGCAAGCCGCTCTTGATGTGCTCCTTTCTGGGTAAGTACCTCAGTCCACACAGATCTTCCAGTCTCATCTTTGGCGACAGGCTATGGCCTGCAGTATCTGATTTCAGCTGCCGTTGTCTATGCAGCCATGCAGACTTATGGAATGGTCAGCCCCTGGTGGTACGTCCTGTCGATCGTCCCTCTATCGTGCCTGGGCAGCAGTGTCACCTACTCCTTGGCCGCCGTCTGCTTTATAGGGGATGTGTCCGAAGGAAAGGTTCGATCATACAGGTATCTAAGCAGTCTGACCAACGTATTGCCAGTATGAGTATGTGCTCCCTTCTAGGATGATTGCCTATGAGCTGGCAATATATGTGGGTCTCCTTTTGGGGAGCTTCGGCTCTGGCTACGCCTACGAGGCTACCAATGCATACGTTGTCCTGAGCATATCCGCTTGCTCCATTCTCGTTGCTCTCTTCCTGATGATCGCTCTCCTGCCAGAGAGTCTTCCCAGTACTGAGCAGAGCGCTTCACATACTCAGGCTGAAGACAGGGATGTCCTGGCATTGCTGAGGGATTTGTGGAGCAGTTGCTGTAGACACCGCGCTTATAAAGATCGTTCTATTGTGGTCCTAATTATGTTGGTCTTGCTGCTAACGGCCTTTGTCTCTGGTGAGTCTTTTTCCCAAACTGCTATTGCGTCCACATAAACCTCCACCATTCACAGACGGCAGCAACTCGGTGTTCTACATGTTCATGAGAGCCAAGTTCCATTGGACCGTGAAGGAGTTTACCGAGTACGAGTCGGTCAGCATCTTGGTGCCTGCTGTGGCTGGCTCTGGCGGAATGCTATTTATTTGGTCCCTGCGGAAGGTGAGATTAGCTCAACGTTCAGCTGGAGGACAACTCAGACTACCAAGACATCTATCTTTGGCAGTGCACCAGTTCGGCGGTTCTCTGGCTGGCTATCGTCTCTCTCCTGAGTCATTCGACCAGCAGTCTGATGAAGTCCTTGGCTGCGGTGAGCTGGCAAATCTATGTCGCCATTGCCTTGGGCGTATTCAAGTCTCTGGTGAATCCCATGTGCCGCACAATAATCACCAATCTCCTGCCGGCCGCAGAGAGAGGTATAAAGGTCTCCCTTCTGATTTTGTGATTAATGATTATCTCTTGGATTTCCGTTGCCAGGCAAAATCTTTGCTCTGCTGGGCATTCTGCAGACACTATCGCCACTGATATCATCGAGCCTGTACTTTGCGATCTACACCCGGACATTGGACAGTGATCCGGGGATATTCAACCTGCTCAGTGCTGGCTTATACGCTCTTGGGATAGTACTCCTCATGTATGTTTTTTATATTTATCTTTCTTCATTAAGAGATATGTCTATCCCATATCGTTTTCAGTGTTGTTTGGCAAAAAAAGTCAACAAATCGGGAGTATTACAATCCGGTTTTCAAGTGAATTAACGACTCTCTTGTGATTTTGGGCCCCAGTGAAATGAGAAAAAAATCTGCCAGTCATTCCAAACTTTCGAATATAAATTATACAGAGCTGCTAGCGCCGGGTACTCCCCTTACATTATAACCCTACAACAAATACTCATCCATACATAATTTCGTACTTGTTTAAGTATAAGAGCTCAACAATTGAAATGTGCTAATTGGGGAGAGAGAGGTAGTATCATTCGACATCAAAACTGCTTTGGAAACTTTTTATAATTAAAAATAAAAAAGCATGGAAAAGATTTTCCCATTGACAAAATGTGGGTTATTATAGCATCCAAATGTGGCGGCGTGTGCGCTGTTATTTGACAAATCTACACGGATCTATAAAAATATGAAGAATATATATAATTTGTACACAATGTAGCAATAAAAAACATCCCATCGATTGGTGCTAACTCATACATATGTTCGTTGCTTTAATCAAATGCTAATTTCACTTGCTAATTTAAAATTAGTCGCCAAGTTTTTTACACCCTTGATTAAGATCGGTTGGGCGCCTCACCAAAAATATATACAAGAAATTACAAAAAAAAACTCTACTCATTTTATGGACCAACAGAGCGGAACGAAATCTCTGGAATTCTATATCATTGCCATCAAATGAATTTAAATTGTTATTTAATAATCAGGCAAACATGATGGGCAAAATAACTAGTAACGCTATAGCCGATATTCCGACCAGTCTATAGACTTCCCCACAGATAACCACCGCTATTATTGAAACTAAATCTATATTTGTATATCCACCTATCCAATACAAATCTTCTTAATTACATGAAGGCATTACATTACATCATTATAGGCAGAGCAGAAAAAATAGGTTCCTCAGTGGTAGAATTTCAGACTCATTTTAAGATGATTTTTTGTTTGCGTAGATCCCGCGTTTTTCCTTCCATTCTCTCTAAAGGGTTGCGAAATATCTCACGACTTATCATCAAGTAAATATTGAGTAATAAAAAAAAAATGATTACGTAAAGTAAATGAAACATAACATGAACACATTTGTAAAGTGTGTTATGTGAGGCAAGATCTGTTCTACATATCCGTAATTTTCCAGCCTCAATTTCTGGGATTACCAAATTCCATGTCCAGATACATACATAAATCAAAAGTCTGGCGCTCGTGCTACTCATTTGCACGAATCAAAAATAGGTGAAAATAATAATTAATTAATGCAAAAAGAAAACAAATAACACTCTGAGACAGACCCCGAGACTAACTTAAATTTCAGTCAATACTCGGGTTGATAGCGAAACGAACAACTTAAAATAAATCTGTCGCGCGTCGAACGGAGTCGAGTAGAGTCGCGTCGCGTCGCGTTTGGCTAAGTCGTTCTCTGGACCCGCAACACCTTTTCAATTGAAAGTGGAGTTCATGCAGTGCCATTTCATTTGAATCGGGCCGAGCTATCCCATTTTATTTTTATAGACTTAGATGAACAACTGTTCATCTGTTTGACTGTTTCTCAGTGTACCTGTATACCTGTTGCGGCTGTTCTGTTTGTTGCTATTGCTTTTTCGAGAGTCTATATAAACCGACGGATTTTGCGGTAGCAGCTCATTTCGAGAATAAAACTCTAATTGTAATTTGCTTGCCGTCATCGGATTTGGATGTAGCTGCTGTCGTTGCCGTTGTCGTTGTCGTAGTCATTGCCCGGTTTCGTGTTGGTTCAGTGAATACAAACGTGTGATGGGTATCCGCATCCATAGCAATCAAAGCGATTGAATACTAATAATAGCATAATATTAACGTGATAATCTGATCGGAAGTGGTGCGGGTGGGGGTATAAGCCCAGGGATTTTCCTCCCCAAAAGCAGTTACGTGACAAGACTGGAAATGTGCAATAAGAGCCACTAAGCAAAGGCATTAATAAAAAAAAAAAAACAAAAAACCCCATATCGAAATCAAAGAACGCATAAAACATTGAACTGTGAGGCCAAAAATTTTGGCAATAACCGGACAAGCATGGTTGAGAAGGCCTCGAATGCGTTTACGCTGGAAAAGCTCCGCAATCTGCAGTGGGGCAAAGTGTTCCATCTGTTCTATATAGAACCGGTTGTCTTCATGCTGCTCTTCTCGCACACCCTCTCTGGTGAGTGGACGTGGACCCGACCCGGCACACAGATTAATCTAACTTTACAGCTATTTTGTTTCCAAATTTTGACCGGCTACAGGCACTATCCAGCGCAACCAGGTCATCTATCAGACGTGCACGGTGATATTCCACTACAACGAGTCCGATTGCAAGCAGCTGGACTCGAAGAACGCCAGCGCCGAGATAAATGTGTGTACAGCTCAGCTCTGGATCGGGGTATAGCGTTCATTTCCACATAACCACAGTGATTATCTGGAAACGAATCGCATTCCCAGCCAACTATTCGATATCTTATGACGCCTCCGCTCCCTTTGCAGGCCATTGAAACGGAGCTGCAGCCGTATGTGGCCAATCTATTCCTCTCCCGCACGCTCCTGGAGAGCATTGTGCCGGCCTTCTGTGGCCTGTTCATCGGCTCCTGGTCGGATCACTATGGACGCAAGCCGCTGCTGATTGTCTCGATGATTGGTAAGCAGGAAAACACTTCCTTTGAGCAATTCCACCTCATTTTTGGTCACATTTAGGATTTTCCGCCTCCTTCTTGATGATGGCCGCCATCTGCGAGCTGTCCAGCTACTACGTGGTCAATCCCTGGTGGTACATTATGGCCGCGGTGCCACATTCGCTGCTGGGCGGAAACTGTGTGTTCTCTGTGGCAGCCTTTTGCTTCATATCGGATATAACGGACTGCAAGACGCGGCCCTACCGAATGATCTTCATGGAGTCGCTTTTCTTCATCGGGCTGACCAGCGGCTCGCTGCTCTCCAGCTTCGTGTACGCCGCCACCGGGGCAGCGGCGACCATATGTCTCTCCGGCTGCATTTCCACCTTCGCCACGCTGTTCATCATCTTTTTTGTGCCTGAGAGCCTCCACATACGCCAAGCGGAGGATGCGAAGAATGCCACTGCCCTCAAGGGCGACACGTCGAAGGATGTGCCGATGACAGCCTGCGATCTTCAGCTGGACTGCGTCGCCATCGATTGCCCGCCGAACATCCTGAACGATGAGCATGAGGAGAAGAGAAGACCCTGCGAGCTGCCCACGCCGGCGACTCCTGCCATGAGCTTCGACGACGACATGCTGGCCAAGTACGTGGAGCGGCTGCCCGAGAAGGCCAAGATGGCCAGAGCCGAGTCGGAGGCGGCGGACCGGATCAAGAAGGCTGGCCTATTCAGTTTCATCCATATTAAAGATATGATTAACACTTGCTTCAAGCCCCGCGAAAATCATGCTCGCGCAATTATTTGGCTCGTCACAATGGCCATGTTCCTGTCAATTTTCGTCTTTGGTGAGTCTTCTCCGCAGTAATCCCAGAGCCTTATATAACCGAACGCTTGCTTCCAGATGGCGTGATGACTGTAATGTATTTGTTTGTGCGCGAAAAGTTCCACTGGACGGTGAGGGATTACACATTCTACGAGACGGTCAGTCATCTGGTGCCCATGATTGGAGCGCTAATCGGATTCCTTGTTCTGCGAAAGGTACATACATTTTACTTGATCTATGTACATATGTACATATGTAGTATTGGCTTCCATTGATCTGAGCTCTATTTTGGTCGTAGGTTTTTCGCCTGTCGGTGGTTACGCTTGGCCTGCTGGCCTTCTTCTCGGAAATACTCAACAATCTCGCCAAGGGCTTTGCCACAATGCCCTGGCACATGTACCTCTCAGTAACCCTGGGCGTCTTCCGCTCCATATCGGGACCCATGTGCCGGACCATTGTTTCGAATATCGTGCCACCATCGGACTTGGGTGAGTTTCGCTATTTACGAGCACATAATATCCCGCATCACAGCTGTTTTCAATTGTGAAAATATTTGAACACTCATTGCAGGCAAGATTTTCTCGATTAAGAATGTGTTGCAATCGTTTGCACCTTTTGGTAAGCCTCGTCACTTCACTGGTTTCTGCTTTCTGGTCCAGTAATTTCGATTTCTAAGCGAGAGTAGTACTGAAATTTGTATAGCTTCTAATTATCATACATTATCACAGTTGCCGCTCCGCTCTACACGCTAATCTACAAGCGGTCCCTCACCACATACCCGGGACTATTCAACTTTGTCAGCGCTTTCCTGTACCTGCTCTCGTTCATGTTCATTGGGTGAGTGTCGCCGAATCCGTAGAGGGAAAGAAGAAAGCCCCTCGGGGGCCCGCTAATTGATATTGTACATTCCTCTAGATGTGTCTTGCGCATCAAGTTCAGGCACAAGCAGCACTACGCCAAGGTGCTAAAGTGAGGTGCTGCGGCGGATTTATGCCTAAATTAACATGTGATCATACCTAAGTAATAAAACTTTACGAGTCTACCGAATTTAATGATGCAAATCCAGCCAATTGCGTGTTTAATTTGTGTGAGAAGCGATCATCAAACATCAGTAATTCAGAAATACATATAACATTTTATTTAATTACTTTCAAATATATTTTCTGAGATATATGGCTTACAATTGATTTGGCTCACAGCATCACTTTAATTTTTATTAATACTCATGCTTCTTCAAAGATCGTTTCCTTCAAGAGGTATTTGCGGTACATTCATTGATCCTTGATCAACTTCCAAATGCCTGATAGGCGGTGTTGCTTTCCATTGATTTCTTCATACCAAAGACGGTGCTGCATGGAAAACAATAAAAGTATTCAGTAAAGGATACCCGGAAGCTGGTATCAGATACTCACGCCGAAAAACAGTAACACAGAAAGTACAGAGCCACGCTGATGAAGTTGAAGGCTCCCGTATAGGACGACACAGTGGCCGCGTATACGGCCGTATAGAGCGGTGCAGCGCCCAGAGGAGAGAGCGATTGCAGCGACGTGGTCACGGAGAATATTTTACCTATTTCCGAGCTTGGCGTCAACTGCGAGAGAATGGCCTTGCACATGGGGCTCATGACACCGCGCATCATGCCCAGCACCAAAGCCAGATACATCTCCTGACCATACTGAGCCGTCGCCCGAACAGTCCCCTCCAGGACGCAGCAGGCAAACGCCAACATTGTCATGGTTATGATCGAGACTTTGAGCAGGCGGCGCAGTAGAACCATCGCAATGATGCTGCCCACCACTTGGATGACAATCCGCGAGGTATTGAACACGCTGTAGTCCGTGACAGTCCAGTCGAACTGCTTTTGCATGAACATGTAGTTGACTGTTCCTTCGCCCTCTGAAAGATTAGGCAAAGAGTCAGATTCGAGGTGCTGGAGGGGTGTGCAGGCATGTGCAGTTATACTCTACCCATTGCGAAGATGCACATGGTCAGAGACATCATGACCATCCAGATGATGGCCCTATCGTAGTTCTCACGCTTCCTGCAGCACGTCATCACCAGATTCTTGACCAGGTCGAGGCGGAAGAACCCACGTATCCGCGACTAACAAGGAGAGGAAGTCGGTGAAAATCTCCATTCAAACACTCAATGTTCTTTATACGCACCTCGGATTGCAAGTCCTCCGGATTGAGGCTCTCTGGCACAAGGAAGATGACGTAGAGCAGGGCTACGGTTATGAGGGAGCCCACTAGGATGAAAAGCGTTCTGGCACCGACTGCGGCGTATATGTAGCCGCCGGCCATGCTTCCCGTCATCATGCCCAGCCCTAGGGCCGCCTCCATGGAAACCATCCCCATTGCTCGAGCGCTCTCCGTGGCCACATCGGATACGTGGCAGTACAGGACAGTGATGAGGGCGCAGGTTCCCCCGCTGAACACCGAAGGCACCGCGGAGAGCAGGAACCACCAGGGATTGATGTTTGTGATGGCCGATATCTGGGTTAGCACGATCAGAATGCTGGCACTTATCAGGAATCCTGTAGCCCAGCATAGTTATAGATTCTATCAGAAATAGATGCAGGTGATTCCGGCTTACCCGTGTATGTGGAGAGCAGTATGGGACGCCTGCCGAACTTGTCCGACCAGGGGCCCAGGAAGAGACTCACAATGGCAGGAATTGTGCTCTCGAGGATGGCGTTGATCATCATTATGGTAGCCGCATATCCCTGGACCTGCGGCTCGATATTCTGCAAGGGGAAATCTGTTTAGGCTGGTATTATCTACCATCGATAAGCATGGTAGGGGCGTCACGGTCCTATTAGTCATAGCTTTTGGGGGTCTTTGGCAGCGCACTCCTACAATCAACATACATATCTATTCCAGTCGATATTTTGTGATAAGTTAAGCCAATTACTCATAGGAGTTTCGTGTTTTCTTTTGTTTTTGACTACTGATAAGCAGTACCAGCCACCTGGCCTGTAAAAATTATAAGTACATATGTATATATAATATACATATATATATTCATATACAAAATTGTCACCTATGTTATCATTTTGAATACTAGAGAGTTATAAAACGCACATAAACATAGATGCGCATATGAAAGTGCATATGTATGTGTGCAATAGTAGTTTGATTAACAGATTAATTTGTTTTCCCATTCCATTCCACTCTGTAAACCAATAGAAAACACGCCTTGTTTCGTCTCCCCATCATCGTTAAGTGCGACGCCATGAAAACTTACTTTGTACTCATCCGAATTTCCACGATCTCTGCCCAGAAACGGCTGGCATTCAGTGGTATTATGTTTCATTACAGTGACGCAGGTCTGGTAGAGGATCTGATTTTGATATGCCGCATCTGATAATTGCAAAATGTTTACTTTTGTATGCTATACACTGAAAACAGCAATCCGTACCGGTTAGAAATCTACCAAAGAATACCAGAAACACAGCGGGTTCCAGTATAAGGGACGGAAGACGTCTTGTCGTGGGTGGGGGCGATTCTCCAGACTCCAATGCCTCGGCATCATCACTGGCTAATACCAGGGGATCCTCGTCACCTCTAGACATGCTGATCAATCGAAGGTCACGGACGAATCGCACAAATGATCGTACCAATTATCGCTAAACAAAGGAATTAGCTATTCATTCAAAACAATATCGTAAAATTCCACAGTCAAGAACAGAACGGTGAGCTTCGGCGTTCAAGCTTCTGCGCGCGGCAAACTCTAGCGATACACTAACAATGGCAACCAGCTGAAAAGTACAAAGCACGTCGGAGCGATACGAGCCGTCCCGTATCTCTCCCCGCCGTCACACCCTACCACAGTGCGCATGGGCCCGGCCCCTCTACGTCTCGCCCTTTCATTACGTATCAGAGGTGCTTCCGAAACAATCAAAACATCTTATGCTTAAATATGCTAAAAAGTTTATGTATTTACAGTTTATTGTCGCGCTGCATTCTGCTGATACGATTCGTCTTTGTATTTGATACAATATACAATATAAAAATACTGTAATTTATTGTGTTTGCATTTCCCAAATACAGTCGAGATAGCAAGGGCACAGTTGTAGTATTCCCAAATGCACATGAGCACAAAAAAAATATGGTAAAAGAAAAGATAAAAATCGTAATACTACTTCCACAAGTCGTGGATAAACGACTTTCAAATACAGAAATATTTTCAAATTGTTCACATTGAGAACCGTCGCAGCAATCACACACGTACTGATTTAATTGGTCTTTGAGATACATTCAACTAAGCCGAGCGGGGAGCCGGCTAACTGCCAATAGCCTGATAAACACTGCTGTTGCCCATCGACTTCTGGATGCCGAAAATGATGCTGCAATTTCGGGAATTTAATAGGGAAAACGATTAAAGTAACCTTGCGGTAACTTACGCTATTAAAACGTAGCATAAGAAGTATAAGACGGCGCTGATGAAGTTGAATGCTCCGGGATAAAATTCCACCGTGGCTTTGTAAACGCTCGTGTACAGAGGAGCAGCTCCCAGCGGCGAAACAGACTCCATCGATGTGGTCAGTGCGAATATCTTGCCTAAATGGGGAATATGGTTTTAGTTAATCGTTCCTTCACGGTTCGCTGATTCGGGGGGATTCTAACTTACCCACTTCCGTGCTCGGCGCTACATGGGACAGAATGGCACGACACATGGGTCCCATTACGCCGCGCATCATGCCCAAGGCCATTCCGACATACATCTCCTGCCAGTACACGGCCGTGGCACGTACTGTGCTCTCAAGAACGCAGCAAGCGAGCGACAGCATTGCCATGGTTATGATTGACAGCTTCAGCACGCGTCGCAGGACTAACATTCCGACTATGCTGCCCACAATCTGGACGACAATTCGCGCGGCGTTGAATAGGCTGAAATCCTTGATAGTCCAGTCGAATTGTTCCCGCATGAACATGTAGTTGACAGTGCTCTCACCCTCTGGTATAAAGCAGAATTAAGTGAAGGCATGAAATCTTTAGAACGCAATTCAGTCACTTTCTTACCCATATCAAAGATGGCTATGGTCAGAGCGATCATAGTCAGCCAGATAATGGCACGGTCAAAGTTTGGCCGCCTTTGGAAGCAGGTGCGGACTAGATCCTTGACCAAATCGAAACGGAAGAACTCGCGGATGCGTGACTAGGCGAAAGAGAACAAGTCTGTTAGATGGCTTATCTGGTGACCCAAATAGATGTGACCTACTCCTGTGGGAAGATGATCGGGTATCAGGCTCTCGGGCACACAGAAATAGACATACATCAAGGACAAGGCCATCAGGCAGCTGGCTATGAAGAAGAGGGTGAAAGCATCCGTTGCTGCATAGATATACCCACTCGCCACGTTGCCCACCATCATGCCCGTGCAGAGGGAGGCCTCATTTAGAACCATTCTGGAATAGTCAAATAAATGCGTTTCGATTCACTGAAAGGATGCGCTACAGTACTCACCTCAGGGCTCGTTTGCGTTCCTTGGCCACGTCCGATATGTAGCAATAGATGCCCGTTATCAAGGCGCAAGTTCCTCCGCTCAGAACCGAGGGCACAGAGGAAAGCAGGAACCACCAAGGACTTATATTTGTGACCATAGTTATCCTGGTAATAATTATCAGTATGATTGAGCCCGTCAGGTAGCCTATAAGAAAAAAGCGTTAAAAAAGTAGGTGGGTTTATTCAGTGTAATACCACCCACCCGTGAAGGTTGTCAGGAGTATGGGCCGCCGCCCGAACTTGTCCGACCAGGGACCCAGGAATAGACTCACAAAGGCTGGTATTATGCTCTCTAGAAGAGAGGTTGTCATCATTATGTTTGCCGAATACTCCTGCACTTGGACCTCTATTTTCTGAAAGAAACAAAGCACAGCTGCTCATCACGTTTGCCTGACTCATTGCCGTGTATCGCGTATCTATATATTGTTAATGCCCGCTTTAAGCTCGGTAGGTCGATATTGGGACGTCGTCCAGACAGCCAAATTAGTCATAAAGGTTTTCAGTTTACTTCTGTTTCGCTCGCTGATAAGTCCTAGGACGCGTTCCACATATGTTGGCGCTTAGTGTTATCTCTAAGTTTCAAACAATGGGAACGATCGGCAAAGCTAAATGTTTTAATAGATAGATTTTGCTTTGTCTGGTTGATGCTGCACTCTTGCTTATGTGGGTCACGTCTTGCGAGCGTTTAGTAATCTTTTCGTACACTTGGAAAAGTGAGGATTGATAATGCCAAGCAATACGCCCCGCAGGGAAGCATTTGAAGCAGAACAGCAGCAGATAAAAAGTTGCAAACCAGACAGAAACTGCGGCGCATTATCACAAAAGTTATTTTAGTTACTGTGTAATTCGCTTACTTTCGCCGCCTCCGATTCTCCCCTATCGATGCCCAGCAACGGTTCGCATTCGGTGGCGTTATACTTCATGATGGTGACGCAGGTTTGGTAGAGGATTTGATTCTGATAAACCGCCCCTAAAAAAACACAAAACGTCAATTGAACGATGCTCGGCCATTTCCTGTCTGTCTGTCCGTACCAATTAGATATCTGGCAAAGAAGATCAGAAATACTGCGGGCTCCAGGATGAACCAACGGTAGCTGTTGTAATCAAGCGCGGGCGGGTGGACGGGCACCTCCTCGTCAATGGAAGTGGTGCTCGGTGTGGTTGTGGCCGTTGCAGCAGCATCCAGAGTGCGTGGCGCACCATCATCGCTCACCAAGGGCTCCGTATCGATGCGAGGCATTTTTCCCAGCCTTTACTTTTTCGTTATCTTTCGGGTACAAAGAAACGAACTGCACAGATAACTATATAGCAGATAACGAAACTAGCAATTCATTCTGAATAATGCAGCAGCGTATAGTATTTAATCAGTCAGACACGAAGACGACTTCTAAGCGCAACAGAGCGAAAACAATTACTGAAAGCCTCAGCTGCTGCGAAATGGCAACGTAAGCAATTTATCGACATGTGCGTAATGTGTTACGTTACTTAATACGAATACATGGATGATTAAACATTAATCACACAAACAGATGAATGAATTGTTCACTACGATTAAAATTTCTTTCAACTTTCTAAAGGCCACAACAGCAGCAGCTGTTTCTGTTTACCACTTGCTGCGGAGGCGCTGCCAACTTGGGGCAAATAAAAATACCGAGGGTTTGGCGGTGTGGTGTTTTTTAGTGGTCAATATTTTAATTATTTTAAATTAATTTTAATGGCGACGTCGGTCCCGCTCGTTTCGCGGCTCCCTCTCCCGCTGGTCGTGGCGGGAGCCATTATCTCGCTCCCGTCTATCTCTTTCGCCATATCTCTCCCGCTCGCGCATTCTGTCCCGATCCTGGCGCTCCCTGTCCCGATTCTGGGGCTTTCTATCCCGGTCCTGGCGTTCTCTGTCCCGATCCTGTCGTTCTCTATCCCGATCCTGACGTGGTGCTGGCTGTCGGCGGTCTTCGTGCTGCTTGTCACGGTTGCGGGTGCGATTGCGCTGCCGCTCAAACTCCTCCAGTTCATCGTAGTAATCTCGAGAGCGACCATTGTTGTTTTGGGCAGGACGTCGGTCCCGCTCCCTGCTGCGCGATTTTGATTTTGAGCGAGCTCTTCGCGGGCGTCGTACAGTTGAAGCGGAATTTTCGTTTGTCCGATTCGCTTCTCGCTCGTCTGGCTTCTCATCCTCACTGGGTAGCTCGTCGTCCAAGTCTTCATCCAGAACCGACACCTTCGGTTCAATCTCGTTGTTCTCCTCGAGAATGGTTCGCTTCTGTATTCGAGGCAGTATAATGTCGCAGACGCGATCGTTACGCAGCAATTCATCTATGTATTCGTCCATGTAGACAATTTCGAACTGCCCGGCTCGGTTTTGGCGTCTCAGCTTGCGGTTGTCGATGTACAAGGGCTCCAGATACTTGTAACAGTCGAGGGCGACTCCGGTCAGTCGCAGATAGAACGCCCCCAATGCACGGACGTACTTAAACTCCTCGTTCTTGATGAACTCCACCACAATGTCCTTCTCCGGCTGAATCTGCAACATCTTCAGTGTGAGGCAGAGGAACTGCGTCGGCTTTATGTTTCCTCCATAAACGCCGCCGACGAATCGCAGCTCCATGGCTTTGTCCACGAGCAGTTCGGCTGTGAGGGCAAAACATTGCTCCTTCCAGTACTTGGAGTCGTAGATGCGGGAACGTATGATCTTTTCGATGAGATACTGCGGGTTGGTGCCATGCACGTTTTTGGCCTCCTTCACTGTCCGATTTGCCATTTTATTTAACAATTATTATTGTTTTTTCCGGCGTCGGCAAATTGTGCACAGCTGCACGGCGCAGATAGTATCGATAGTACATGCGATAGTGAGCAAACAACACGCTATCGGTATGTAATCGTGATGACGCATCGCTCATCGAACAAAACAACTCGCCAGACAGAAAAAGGAAACGCAAAAAATTGAAAAACTACACTTTCAAATAGGATTCCAGGATTTTTGGGCGTGAAAAACAGAAAAACAAAGATGAGTTTCTTTGGGAAAATGTTTGGTGGCAAGAAGGAGGTGGCCCCCACGACGGGGGAGGCGATACAGAAACTGAGGGAAACCGAAAACATGCTCATCAAGAAGCAGGAGTTTCTCGAGGCCAAAATCGAGGACGAGCTGAGTATTGCCCGAAAGAATGCATCAAAAAACAAAAGAGGTATGTACAGGAGGAACTGCCATCCTGGAGCTTCGCTGATGGAGACTCATTGTGGCCGCATATTAGTGCCATAAATATCCGGAGGAAAAATGACTCATTTTGCTTTGCTTTTGTTTTGGTTGGGGCAGACATTCCCATCCCCTTCACCACTGCCATGCTAGACATGTACTTATGCTTGAATAGAATTATCTAGTAAAATGATTGTATTTCTTCGCCTTTCTCACCCGCATACCATTTGACGCCTGGATGTGTCCGCATATGCTCAGAACGTAATATGAACATTCCTTTCGATACTAAAACCAGACATTAGCCATGCCGTAGACTCTACGGCGTAGAGTAATTCGATTCAAAATAATCCAAAATTGGCCTTAACATCTTAGCGAAACGTGACGCTTTGCCCAAGACTCACCAGCAAACTTGTCGCCTTTTCAGTGGCCCTGCAAGCCCTCAAAAAGAAGAAGAGGCTGGAGAAACAATTGCAGCAGATCGATGGCACCCTGTCCACCATTGAGATGCAGCGCGAGGCCTTGGAGAGCGCCAATACGAACACTGCCGTCTTGACAACAATGAAGAATGCTGCGGATGCGCTCAAGAATGCCCACCAGCACATGTGAGTAATCGACCATCGCCAGATGAGTTCCAAAAACCAACTGATTGATTCACTTTATGCGCAGGGATGTGGACAAGGTCCATGACATGATGGATGATATTGCCGAGCAGCAGGATGTGGCCCGGGAGATTTCCGATGCCATTTCCAACCCAGTCGCCTTCGGGGCCGATCTGGATGACGAAGATCTCGAGCGGGAACTCGATGAGCTGGAACAGGAGAACTTTGATAAGGAAATCATTGGCATTCCCGAGCCAGCGCCCACATTGCCCGAGGCCCCAACAGAGGACTTGCCCGAGAAGGCCAAAGAGAAGAAAAAGGCCACAACGACTACAACTACAACTACGGCTGAAGTTGGCGATGATGGTATTGTCTTGTCATTACCTTAATTACAGCAAATTATAACTCGTTTCATTTAATTTTAGATGATCCCGTCATGAAGCAACTTTTGTCCTGGGCCAACTAAAACGAGCGCTAATAAAATCTCTTCAATATTCTGCAGGTTAACCAAGACCCCCACGTTTCTGTTTCATTTAAATTTTCAATGATATTAATTAAGTCAAATTTTGCGTTTGAAGCGAGCAAAAGTAACAAGAAGGCATTAAATCCTTTGGCAATCTATCAATCAAATGGTACATACATATAATAGGAATGTGATTTAACAAATAATAAACGAAAAGATCAAAGTCAGGCCTCACATCAACAAAAGTACACGAAAACTGAAGGATATAATTATAGTTATAACTTGATATTTTTAAAGTATTTTTGCACGAGCCTTGTGCTGAATTAATTGAATTTGTTTTGCTCCAAATGATGAAAATTGCAGAGAATCACGGTGACTTTGAATGCAGCTGGTTTCAATGCAAGTCGCTTGAGACAAAGCTTATATGTTGTATTTTAGCACTCATTTCCCGCAGGTTTAGTTTTTGAATTGAAATTTATACATAAATAAATAGTCAACAATCCACTCGGTTGCCCTATTTTCATCACCAGCGAGTGGTTCGGTTCGTTGCTAACAAAGACGATTCATTAAGATCTCCTATCTACAGCGGGTCGCCCTCGAGTGATAAAATGTAAATGCTCGAAGCAGTGGCAGAGCCAACCCGAATCGGGGCGCATTGATTGGAACACGGCTGCTGATGCGACATGCATATCAATTAATTACCCGCCATGGCTGGGGCTGGGGCGGCTGTTACATTTGGCTGGGCAGCGGCGGACACTGCCTCATGTGGGATTGGGTAATGATTACAACAAAATACAAGAGCTGGCGACTGATTGCAAATCGCTGGACACTCTGTGGCTCGGCCTGGGCGCATGCAGTTGGCCGAATTTATTCAAATCAGTTTAGTTCCGTTTGAGGAAGAGTTGAGGTGTCGTCTCTGCGAGTGGATCTATCGTACCAGTTGCAATGTGCAAATACGTCTTAATTGCTGCACTGGCCGTAATGGTAAGTGTGTAATTATCCACTAATCACCGCATTAACATTGCCCTTGAATCCAGTGTCTGCAGGTGCCCGCCGTCCAAGCCACGCTGCACGACCTGCACGAGGCCTTTGATTTCTCGAACGTGGATCTGGTAAACTTTCAGTACTTCAAGAACCTGGCCTCACAAGATCCGCGCACTGCTGCCACCGCCAGTCCCCTTCTCGTGCACTTTCAGAAGAAGAAAGCCGTGCTGGACTACCTAGACCGCTTATTCTTCGGCAACTCACCCTTCCAGCAGGCCAGCGAGATCCCCTTCGACCCGCACTTTGGTCGCGCCTGGCGGCCACACTACGAGCGCAAGTTTGGTTTCCGCGGCGAACGCCTGATAGCCGCCCTGGGCTCAGGCTACTCCGTACGGCAGTTGCGCCACTTTGGAGCTATTCCCCAAGAGTTCGGCACGCCACACTATCCCAGTTGAGCGTGCTACATAGTGTTCAGAATGGAGTTTCGGTTGTATTTATGAAATAAACTTAAGTTATACTACTAAACTCTCCGTTTCTGCGTGGATATGTAGAGCACGTTGTTTCCGCGGATGAATGCGTCGCCGTATTTGTTTTTCAGCTGCCCATTTACGTACTCCTCCGTCTGCTCCAGGCAAATGTTCATATAGCCATCCAAGCAAGCCAGCACACCTGCGGGGTATTAAAGGGAGAGAGAGTGAGGTGAGTGAGTGTAAGTCACTTCAGCCGGCATTTTTGCTTGCTATGCTTTTCTTTTGACAGCACAAGACTCACCGCGATAGTCCACGCCGTTGTTCAGCTTCACGGCCACGGGGCGACCATGGATCTGGTTGATAAACTGCGAGAGGGCTTCTTTGCGCGACATTTTAGAGGTTTATTCAGTTATATTTATTTTATTTATAAGGGAAATCAGTGTTGGTGGGACCGCGGATCTATCGATAAAATATACCGTCCGACCCTCAGAAATATACCGACTCATACCGCCTCATTTTCAAAATATACCGTAAATATACTGACGAATTCAAGTTCTATCTTACATATTCCTCGTTTTTGATATTCCGTCGAATATTACTAGCTACAAATTTAGATTTGAATGATAGACGATCAGAATCTCGATGCTGATCACGAAATAGGCCCTAAATGGCATTTGGTGCATTGCACAAGAGTGTGGAAAATACTATGAAAAGTATAATATTTGCAGGGAAAGAGCAACGTTGCTTTTCAGCACTGGTCATCGTTAATTCATCAAAACGATATCAAAATTCAAAAATTTCGGTTAAGTAAAAATCTAAATTATACTTTATAAATGATGTCCATTTTGTGGATGCGCCGGCTGTTGACAAGTTTGGATGGCTTCGGCAGCCAGTTGGTACGTCCAGCCTCTTCATTTAACAAAGTGATGAAGCCGCTGGACTGTTTCAAGCCAAAGCCTTCGTTTAAGATAACCGTGGTTGGTTCGGGCCAGGTCGGAGCGGCAGTTGCAGCATTTCTTTTGGTGCGTAAACTTACCAAGCATCTGGTGATCCTTGATGTGAAATACGACTTGGCCACTGCGGAAGCGTTGGATTTCTCACATGGGTCTGCCTTCTTGGGCAATCCGATTGTCGAAGCCTGTGGTGATGGAAATCGTACCAAGAATTCGGATGTTATCATTATTACAGCGGGAGCGAGGCCATCAGGCAAAACCCGATCTCGTCTGGACGTTATGCATAAAACGGTTGTGATTCTGAAGTCTGTAGTACCCAAGCTGGTCGAATTGAGCCCCAAGGCGATTTTCATTATCATCTGCAATCCAGCCGATGTTATGACCTTTGCTGTGCAGCGCATCGGAAACCTGGAGAAGCATCGTTGCTTCACTACCGGCTGCCACCTGGACACTGCGCGCTTTCGCTACCTAATCGCGAAGCGTCTTAGGGTTCCCACATCGGCAGTCAACGCCTATATAATAGGAGAGCATGGTAGTAGTGCTGTGCCCGTTTGGTCCAGTGTCACGGTAGGTGGGATTCGACTGAGCGACGTCGTGAAGGATTTGGGCACGGACAAGGACCAGGAGAAGTGGTCCGATCTCATGGATGGCATCCTCAATGCAGGTGTGCACGTTAGTAAGGCCAAGGGCTATACTAACTGGGCCGTGGGGCTGACTGCTTCAGATGTTGTCAAATGCATGGTGGAGAATACCGGTCAAGTCTGTTGCGTGGGGACAGATGTGAAGGGACTCTACGGTCTAAAGGACAGTGTGGTACTCTCTGTACCTTGTCGAGTCACGGCCAGCGGAATTAGCCACATTTTGGAGCTGCCACTGAACGAAGATGAGCGTAAAAAGTTGTTGAAATCTGCTGATACTCTGCTGGAGGCCCAGTGCTCATTGAAATGGTGATTCTCGATTCCGCCCTTTGCGATCATCATCCCATGAAGCAGAAATAGAACAGAAAAGAAACTGTGAGATAACAGAACGAGAAGTAAACAAATAAACAGCTCTCCCAAGCATTCCAAAGCGTGAGAGGAGAGAGGGAATGAACTCACTTGCCATTGCCCTTTCCATTTTCCAGCGACGTCACAGCGATAAGAATGAGAGAGCAAGCGAGACGACCACAGAGTTACAGCTGTAAAAGTGCAGCAATCACTTGACCATACCATACCGCTCGCCCGCGCCTACTCGTTCACGTTTCTGATGCCCTGTGCCCAGACATCTGATATTTTTGTAATTTCCATCAAAATTATGATTAATTTCTCGTGCCAAAGTGTCAACATTTTTGAGCGGGCGGAGAATCCAAGGTCTTGGGGAAGGTCTTCAACGAAATCGAAAGTCAAAGGTCTTGAAAACGATTAGGCAAGCAGAGAAAATGATAGGAAGACAGACAATGCGCCACACGAAAATTTAAATACATACTCCTAACCATAGACGATCTCAAGACGTTTTGGGGGCCGCCTCAATGCAGGGGCCCCTCCACGTCGTGAGTAAGATCGATTTGGAGCCAAGGTCTTGATTTGTAGCAGGCGCACACAAAACCCAGCAACGATCTCGTTCCGCTTCCAGCATTTCCCGCCACTAGTTCGCCCACGCGCACGCACTGGCATGCGGCGAAGCGAGACAACGACTGCCGCTGCTCGGTGACCCAGGGCCCTGCAGCATCCCACAGTTCCCATCGACCCCAGAGTGTAACCAAGTGTAACAGACGACTGGGCGAACAGACGCTGGCACCAGACGATGCGTCGGAGCCGCGATTTTCAACGCCTCGTTGCATGGTCTGGGAAAATTTTCTTTGCTCTCGTTTTCGGGTCTATTGTTAAGTGAAAAGAAAGACACGATCGCAGCTGGCCACGCCCACGCCCGCCCACTCTAGCCACTCCACCCTAATGCTCTTTCTGGAAAGTCAATAATTTTGTAAAAGTGTGGTAAATGTTGAGCAACAATTTGTTTGTTTAACTAATTGAAATTCACTAGGCGCACAGTGCGTGCGGGCAGTAAACGCACAACACAACGCATGTTCCAACTTTCCACTTTCCCACCAACTACCTGCTAGATCGTTTTGGGATTTTCTTTCAGATTTACTACCATGGTTTCATGGCTCTTCTATTTCTGGTACCCTATTGAAATGCTACAGTTTTTCCCCCAAAATCACGATCGAGAACTGTTGGGAGAGTGAGTGCGAGAGAGGGGACCCCCATGGGGCATGACCAATTTCATTATTTGTTTAGTATTTTTCTCGTTTGTTTTGGGTTTTGAGTTCGAGCCAGGGCCACAGAAGTTCTGTGATGGTAGAAGATGGTTGGTCTATGTGTAGATCAGGTGCTACCTGCTGCCTAGATTTGGTTACACTTAGCTGGTGGTGGCCTTCTGACACTGCTGTTGACCTGTTGAAATGCTACACATTTGCATGCAGACAACGCCAACCCTTTCGGGAATATGTACTTATGTACATATGCGGGATGGGATGCTATACCGATGCTGTACTTCCGCGAGTGAGTGTAGGCGCTTCTTCGGTTTCTGTTTGCCTGTTGAAGTGCTACACATTTGCATCATTCAACTCTTTTGCGAGTAGGAGTACGTACATCCGCGGGTGTTTCGTTGGGACTGGTGGCCATTGTATGAGCGTGTCTGTGTGGAGTGATCTTCATCAGGGCTGGCGCTTTTCATCTGCTCAGCTCCTCCCACACATGCAATGATCATCGTCGTGCATTGTCGAAGTGCATCCGAGTGTAACCTTTGAACAGGCGAACAGCAGAGTGCAGCCGCAACTCCGATGCATCCGATGCATCCGAGTGCAGTCTGAAGATTTTTCCCACTGCAGCTGCAGGTAGTTTTGGACCACAGCCCTTGGGCTTGGGTTATATTTAACAAATGGATGTGGGATTTTTATATGGATGCATGCATGTGTGCTACGGGTTCGTTTCTATGATTGGCTGAGTGCGTTTTTGTGTGGGATGCTGGATGCAGTTTTCTCTCTACTGGTAAACATGCCAGCCTGTTCGGTTTGGCCACGCTCCAGTGATCTTCACAATGGAACCGGAAGAAATTAGACAGGTCACAGGCTGTGGGTCACCCGTTTTGGGATGCGGTTCTCTCCTACTATCAATTGTGTGAACCTGTTCGGATTGGCCACGCTCCAGTGATCTTCTGAATTGCATCTTCCATGGGATGCTGGTTGCATTTTTCAAATGTTTTTTTGATCCCTACTCTTAATTTTGTCACCCTGTTCGGCTGGCTTACGCTCCAGTGATCTTAGAGGATGTTCTCTCACAGATTGCATTTTCTGGATGCTGTATGAAGTTCTCAGATGGTTGTTGGACCCCTACCGCGTGTATACGGGCTATATTTAACGGTTGATTGTGGGAATTCAATGGGTGCGTGTTTTGGGTGCGTTTCTATGATTGGTTGGCTGATTATTTTTGTTTCTATTTGGAATGCTGGCTGTAGTTTCCCTCCTACTGTTAGCGATGACAGCCTGTTTAAAATAGCCCACGCTCCAGTGATCTTATAAGTGGATTCCTAGTGCATTAGATCTCAGGCTCAATTCCCATTTGGGATGCTGGATGCAGTTTTTTTTTATCACCTACTCTAAATTTTGAGAGCCTGTTCAACTTGATCACGCTCCAGTGATCTTCTGAATGGACTCGTAATAGAATTAGAAAATGATCACTCCCTGGGGATGCATTTTATTTTCTCGGAGATCAGGCTGCAGTTTCTGACATTCTGTTCGTTTGATCTCTTTGGTCATGCTTCATTGATTTTCCCCGGAACTGGGATCAATATTTTCCATGCCCTTTGGCCTTTTCGCTGTTTTCCCTAATGTCTCGCATCTGGTTTTGATGTTGGCCTGGTTTCTTAATCCGTTTTGGTCACGACTCACTGAATTTTCACGATTGGTTCTTAGGGATTAGCAGGTAGATCGCCTGGTTCGCCCACATTCTTGAGGTACACACATAAGTTTTTCCAAGATTAGTTTCCTACACAATAATTCTGCGAGCCTGTTCGAATGCTACAGTTTCGTGACCTTTAACTCTTTTCCCATTGTTCCCTGGCATCATTGGATGACACTATTGCATCATTCACCCATAAATACATAGACCTTTAGAATCTAAAGGGTTAACATGCCTTAAACTGTAGCATTCGAATAGGAGAACAACGATTGTAATAGGTCGATTATCAATAGGTCAAGTCCTGCCCGAGACCTTCTGCCATAATGGCCCAGCTAGAACCTTTGAAACCCTGTTCGCTTGAACCAGTTCTTAACGCTTCACTGACCACAGGTGATGCTGCAGGTGATCTTCAGAAACAGTTGTACACTGCTTTTTCTTCCTGTCAACCTGTTGGTTTTTGTGATCTTGGTCACGCTTCATTGATTTTCATCTATCATTTTCACCTAATGATTGGTTCATATCGCCATTCTGCCTCTGACCTTTTG